GATCTAAAATCCATTATCACAAATGAGTTCTTATCAGAAATAAGCGAAATGAATATCACATGGCATTTCAATGCTCGATCATGGCCCAATGCGGGGGGTCTGTGGGAAGCGGCTGTAAAGAGTGTTAAATACCATCTTCGCAGGGTCATCGGCGAACAAAAACTCACCTTCGAGGAGTTCTTAACACTGCTAACACAGATAGAAGCCTGCCTGAATTCCCGAACGCTCTGCGCTATCACTGAAGATCCAAATGATATCAATTACCTGACTCCATCTCACTTTCTGGCCAGCAGTCCAGTTTTAAGTATCGTGGAGACAGAGAAAGACGAAAGAACACGTTGGCATATGACGCAGAAGATATTCAATGATGTTTGGAAGCGCTGGAAGTCTGAATATCTGACAGCATTATCCACCAGGAACAAGTGGCAGCAATAAACTGAAAATATCAAAATTGATGACATTGTAATCATTCATGAAGCAAAACTACCTGCCGGGAGATGGGCATTAGGGAGAGTTATCGATGTTCACCCATGCAAAGATGGAGTAGTCCGAGTAGTTACTATTAAAACAAAAAACGAGACTATTAAGAGACCTATCACGAAATTAACCATTTTACCAACTCAGTCTGAAGCAAACTATCAGAATCCCGCAAACTGTCAATCAAGTCCGAAAAACAATCAAGAATTATGTTTGAAAGCAGATCACAAAAACGACAAACCAGAAAAAGCACGATCTAGTATCAAGCTTTGTAATTTTATCATGTACACACTGCTTATTTTTACGTTATTCGCACAAACAGCACAAGGAGCATTTAATGTAACAAATTTTAAGGATACCCAGAGTTTATACTTCGATAAAACATCAAACATGAGGCTTATCCGAGATGAATGGAAAATCATTGTTTATTACGATTTAGATCCGTACTGGCAAGGTTCGAAACTACTAAAAACATATATCACTCACCTCGAAAACATATGTTCAAAATTGCAAGAGCGACAGCAATGTGACATAATCCTATTACAATTACGACACGGGAGCACCGAGTTACACTACTACGATCAGCTGTTGCTTGGTCAGCAGTCGGCGGCGGGAATACGAGTACGTCGCGGGCTTATCAATGGCGTGGGAAATGTCGCGCATGCACTATTCAGCGTACTTGACAATGACTTCGCTGAACAATATGCAAAGGACATTGAACTCATTAGAAAGAATCAAAACCAGCTCGTAAAATTATGGAAAAATCAGACATCAGTAATAGAAGCACAATATAACTTTTAAAAAGATTAGAAACAACAATTGACCAACAACACAAACTCTTCCGTCAGCATATCAATAAATTAGAGCAAGAAAATTCCGTTATTAAAGAAGAGATACAAAAATTAAGAGCTAGCAACGAGTTTACCTTATCATCTGTAACATCAAACAACATCTTAGTTAATTTGAAAAAGATATAAAATACCTTGCTTGATGTTGTTACCGACATTTATCAGGGGAAATTTGATATACATATGCTATCACCTAAACAGTTACAAGATGAGCTTAGCATCATTTCTGGACATTTAACAAAAGATCTATCTTTGCCTATAGATGATATACACAACGGCGTATCAAAATTGTATCATTTACTGAGAGTAAAGATTAAGGTCACATATCAAAACCTTTTACTCGAAATTAAAATACCACTTTTAACCAGAGAAAGCTATGACATCTACAGAGTTTTACCTATTCCTCAATCATACGACAATAAGATGATAAACATAATTCCCATCTCTGATTACTTTGCTGTAAACATCCAAAGAGACTCATAAATACCTATGGCTGAAGCCGAAGTACAATCATGTCTACATTCAGACCTCACCACGAAACTTTGTGAGTTACGAGGTCCTGTTTATCATATGCAAAATGATCAAAATTTGTGTATCAAGAATCCTTCAACAGACCAATGTCTCACTAATATTAACCGTTGTAAAAATTCATGGAATGCGCTCAACACTATAAACACATACTTATTTTTCTGCTGCGAACAATGCACTCTTCGAATCATATGCGGCAATCAAGTTACATCGGAGCGCGTCAGCAAGGCCGGCGTTTTATCAGTCGGGAATAATTGCGTGCTCAAGGGAGACGCATTCATAATCTATCCACACAACTATCACATCCACACAATGCACGCACACCCCGATTTATAAGCCATAGATATTCCACCTATCAACAACATAATCAACTTGACCATACCTATCAGTAAAGGTGAGATAAGCCAACCAGAGGAGGGAGAACGACAAGCGTCCTTGAAGGAGATCGGGCGTCAAATCGATCAAATGAAAAAAGAAAACTGATGTTGAAGTGAATCAGCTGTCAACCCATGACTTACACCACTATGTCGTTATCTACGTGTTAGTGGGAGCACTCGGGGCAGCGGGCGTAGTGGTACTTTGGAAGCGAGTGAGACAAGCGCGCCGGCGGAGCCTAGCGCCTGCGGCCCGCCCGGAGCCGGCACCACGGTTATATCTTCAAGACATTCCTCGTGCTTGTACAAGTGATAGTGTCAGTGTCAATCAAAACATATCAGTGCAAAGTGCGCGAGTACAAAACAAAGGAACCTCACCCGTATTTGCGAGAGTGTGCTTGAAGGACATACAAGTAAAATAGATCTGGACATGGACCTTTAACTACTTATTTTTATTTTATTTATTAGTGACATACTATGATAGTTTCTTAACCTGTAAACCAAGCCATGCTCACTTTTGATCGTACAATACCTACCTTACGTCCGCCAAGTAGTGATCTAATTTGATCAGAATTATGTAAACGTGTGTACCTATGAAAAAACTATTTTTTCGTTTTAAACAAAACCAAAGACACTATGCAATAGATAATATTATCAAAGACAAAGATATGCTCTTTTATTTTAAACCATAACCTGGCAATGTTTCTTAGAAAAAAAAAAAAGAAATCACTCTGAATTTTCGGCGTTCCACGTGTCGTTTTGATGAAGGTGCTCCGTCTTTTTTTATAGAATTTTATATTTGTGTCTGGACTAAAAACGAAAGTATTATACTTTTTTTATATTCCTTGTAATATAGCAAACACGTAGATATATAATTTGTGGTATAAAAAGTGAAAAGTAAATTGCCAAAAGTACTTTAAAATCCGGAAGCTCCATTTTGGCGGTGGGGTCATAAATGTGTTATTTTCCAAATTCTCATTTATTTTTAGTGTAAAATGTAAGTAAAAATAGTTTTCTTACATATTTCAAATAACTTGACGTTGTATTTATTTCAAATTCACACAAAAATATGTTTGAAATATTGTTCGAAATGTCATACAGATAAAATATTATTATTTTTTTTAATTTTTTAATATTTTAATATTTTGGTATGAGTAACGAATGGAAACACATAAAACATAAAAATATACATATTTCCAAACATTTTCATATAAATTTCTCTAAAAACAAAGGTGTAGAATTCAAATTAGTAGTAATTTTGTCACTAAAATTGAAGTATATACTTCTACTATGCTATATAGGGTAATTTACGTATTTTATTACAATTTCTAGCAACCAAAAATAATTTTATTCGATAGTTTATACATTCAACAAGAATTCCTGTAAGTTTTATCCATAAATATTGTCTCAAAGTGAAAATATTGCAAAATTTGCAATATAGCAAAAAATTTGCTAATTTGCAAATTTTCCCGCCATTACGGTCCCGAGCGAACGGGAGTATAACATGTCGCGTGCTCGCTTGGCGAACAGGACTTAGTCATTATCTTATATCATTATCATTTTATCTTTTATCATTTTTGTTGTTTCCTATCTATCTTATCACTCCCATCTCTCGCCCGGGAGCATGTACAGTGCAACCGTTCATTTTAGTGTTAAGCGATTTATTTAGGTCAACATAATTTGCGTCATTCACTTTAGTTTTGAGCAATGGACAGTTGACGTTGTCGCTCAGAACACGATAGACGCGTTCTATGTCATTATCAATATCATTATATAATATCATTATTCATTTTAAATAAAATCATTTTTCCTATCAACTATAATTTAAAGGTGTTCCGAACAGAATCAATCTAGTGAATCAATATTTCACCCTAGAGAATCTAGATTGAATCTTTTTCTGTTTTATCAAGAACTATAAAATTATTTACTATTAGTTGAATATACCTCAATTAGTAGGGAATGACAGTTTTTCAATTAAATAATTCAATGTTAGTGACAATGGAGACGGTTCGGACACGGACGGACACAGATGTGGCGTCCCTAAGTATAACTTTGCTCCGCATTAGATTCATAATTAAAATAATATAAGTATGTTAATATTAATTATTGTATGTGAAACCTAAAGTAAACAATATAGTTACGCTTAATAAATGTTATTTACATTTGTTATGAAAACTAAATAGAGAAAATTGGAAAAACTGTGTTTACTTTGAATTTCACCAATAAACAATTTATGACCAAAAATTTATCATAAAGTAAAGTGTAAAAGTGTTCTTAAACATAAATATTAACTAGTTTTAACTGTGAACAATATAAATTACAAGTTATTGAATCAAAAACTAAAAAATTATATTTGAAATAGTCGTTACAAAATAAAATTATGTGCGCGTCTATGTAGTGGCTTGCGATTGGTGGACTTTTTTAAACTGTCTTATCGTTTACTTTTATTGTTTTGCTAACTAAGTCTGCTATCCGTATATTTATGATTGCATTGTTCAAAAATATTGCGACTGTCTGTACGGCCTAGCTGAATAAGTACGAACGTTATTACAAAGTAATCGGGGTTCGAAATCCCACCCTTCTTACAAGTAAATTTTTTTTTTTAATATTCTTATTTTTCCTTATTTTTTCTCATTTAATATTGCTCAAGATGGCATTAAAATGCGATAAGTGTGAAAAGGATATTATTAGAGGAAATTTCATAACTTGCGACAATTGCCAGAACTTCTATCACATAGAATGTACAAGTATAGGAGAGAAAAGGTTCTACTTAATGGCTACAGAAAATAGAAAAAAGCTCAAATGCGATGGTCTTACATACAATAAAACACCAGCTCCTACTACAATACAGGTAAATATTCCTACTGGAAATTCTTTTCATTCTCTCAGTGACATAGATACGGAAACTTCACAAGAATCTATATACTATATTACTCAAAGAAAAAAACAAAAACAGACGTCCCAAGAAAACCTGACCACATCGTATTGGTCAAGAAACTCAAATAGTCTTCCAGATTTCAGTCGAATAATTACTAGTGATAATTTGCAAGTATTAAAATTGGAATTGATGAGATTACAAACAGAACTCAACATAGCTAACAATGAAATTAAAAACTTAAACGCAATAAATACAGAACTAAATAAGAAAAATCAGGAGCAAGAGAAAATTATAGAATTATACAAAACTATAAATGTAGACGAATTAAATCCTAGTAAAGTTCTAACTAACCCATGTATGTCAACCCCGCTCGGTAATCAGTCTGAAAAAGTTAAGAGGTATCCTTCTTACAAAAAAGAATTTCCATTGCCAGAAGACGGTAATAAAAAACACATTGCTACAATACCCATACATGCGAATAAAAGGGATTTCACCTCGAGAAACAACATAATCGATACTTCAAAGCCTATAAATTATACAGAGAAGCACATATTTAACACTAAGCCCAACATATGTATAATAAGCGGTATAAGTAACCACAAGCAATCTTCAATAAAAAGAGATAAAATGATGGAGCAGAGTGCCGCATACAGTCACTATCGCACACCAGGTGGCGACATAGACCAACTGTCACGTGGGTTGCAGGAGAAGCTAGCTAACTTCACTCTTAACGATTTTTGCATACTTATGATAGGAGACACTGATTTTAAAGTTTCCAAAAATTATAAAAATATTGTATATATCTTAAAGCAACGCATCCTGGCTGTACAACACACAAACATTATTATTTGTTTACCGACTCCGAATGGCTTAAACGAATTAATTAATAAACGTTAATGTAATAAAAACTAAAATAATTCAATTCAGAAATTACAAAATAAATTCTTTTAATTAAATATAGCAGATAAAGACACTCAAATAGAAATAGTTAATAACATTAAATTTCTTGAAGTCACCATAGACTGTCATTTAAATTTGAAATCTCATATTGAAAAAATAAACAAAAAAATCTCTAGCTAAAGTTACATTATCCATATTAGCAGAAACAACCTCCGTTGATGTATCAAGGGCTGCATATTTTGGCCAGGTATACCCTCTATTAGTTTATGGTATTATTTTCTGGGGTAATTCTACAAACGTGCAGTCAACATTTATTCTGCAAAAGCGATGTCTGCGGATCATTTATAATATGTACTCAGATGAAACTCTAAGAAATGTATTCGAAGAAAAAGGCATTTTCACTCTCACTAATATTTATATTTTAGAAATATTACTTTTTATAAAACAGAATGGCAACTATTTTCAGATTAAATCTAACGGGAATTCGCGTCCAATACGCACTAAATATAAGCATAATTTATATACACCTTGTAGCGGCCAGACTAATCAACCCTAAACGGGAATAAATAATATATACTCTGCTGCTACCATAACGCGGAAGGCGAAGATAATTTGACGTTCTTATAAAGAAACAAGAAGCAGTCGCAAATATTATTCAGCGCCACATTGTCTTCACACACCGTTATCGTCATGTATCCGTCGAACAATTGTCAGCCGTTTCTTCAACGCCGCAGCTCGCTTCTTCTTGCTGTTCCGGAGCTGTGTTCCACGCCGCCGCCGCTCACCGACTCTGCGCGCGCACCGATCTGCATGACTTTTATAGCTCGGTCCAGCGACGTAGCTTCGTGAACATAACACGAGTCTCACGCCGGGAAACTTAACGTACATAATAGTTGCATTGTGTTGCAAATGTTACCAGTAGTTTCATTTCTCCACCTTAAAACAACTCGGAGTCTGTTAATAGTGGACCGTTCTTCTCCACTATTACGGTATATTCTCCACTATTACAGTGGTGACTCGTACGAACACCGCGTAGGAAGCCCGTGGCGAACACCGAGGAGGAAGATCGCGGTACGAGCACCAAGAAGGAACACCCTGCGACGTACCACCATTACAGTGTAGTAGTACGAACACCTAGAAGGAAAACTTCAGTATATATGAAATCAGTGTAATCAAGCCGTCATTATGGAGCAAGAGGAAAACACATAAACATCAAACCCGGTCAAGGAACCAGAAATCGCCGGTATATCTCTATTGTTGAGAATATCACCGTTTTGGAGAGACAAACCACGACTTTGGTTCGTCAGTTTTGAAGCTGCAACGAATGGTTTAAAGAAGAGCCAAGCGCAATTAGCACAGATGGTGATAGCCCAACTTGAGAAACAAGACATCGAACAAATTTCAGATCTGTTGTACAACCCACCAGCAATCGACCATTATAATTCACTGAAGGATCGTCTGATCTCCACATATGAAGAATCCAACAGTCGCCAGCTACAGAAACTTCTATCAGAAATAGAACTTGGAGACCAGAAGCCCACACAACTCCTACGCATAATGCGTACTTTGGATAGAGAGAATATATAGAGAGAGATAAAGTTCCGGATTCAACGCTACGGCTAATGTGGGTAAACCACCTACCACCATATATTCGATCGGTAATAGCAGTCAGCGAAACATTCAGCACGCAGACGAAGCTCGACGAACTGGCACTCCTGGCGGACAAGATGATCGAAAACAGCAGTAGCTCACACATATCGATGATCGAAAGTACTTCAACAAAGGCCAATGATACCCAGTTTCTTCTCGAAAAAATTCGGAAGCTATCATTCGAAGTCGCCGCGCTCAAAGCTTCCCAGCATCACACCTTTTACCAGCAAAGGTACAACCAGCGCAATCAGCAACCTTTTCGTCGCAACCGCTCTGCAAGTAGAAGTCGAACAAGCTCAAGAACAAGATCCCCTTACTGCTACTATCATCGACGTTTCGGGTTCGAGGCAAAAAAATGCACAGAACCGTGTACATTCAAAAATGAAAATACGAAGGCGCTCGAACTAACTAATACGCTCAATGCGATGGGATCCAGCGTAACAGCAAAGTCCTACCGTCTTTTCGTCACCGATAAAAAAGCAAGCTTACTTTCCTTATCGACACCGGAGCAAATATCTCAGTGTTACCGCCGAAGCAAGGACAGAAGTTGAAGCCACTGGATTTTCATCTCTATGCGGCAAACAATACGGTGATTCCTACATATGGAGAAAAAACAATGGAACTTGATTTAAACCTACGCCGACCATTCAAATGGAGATTTATCGTCGCTAAAGTCAGCAAACCAATCATCGGTGCTGATTTTCTTCAACATCACCAGTTGATCATCGACATCAAAAATAGAAGAATCATCGACGGGAAAACCAATCTTGCATTTCAGTCTTTGTCCAAGCAACCAATCTGCCCACAATAAGAAGCATAGATGTTCAACAACCATATCACAAGATCCTCGAAGAATACCCTGGTATCACAAGAATAACTTCAATGAAATTAACACCGGAGAACGACGTTGAGCATTTCATCGAAACCAATGGACCACCACTTCATTTCCGTGCACGTTCAATCGCACCATAGCTATACGAGCAAGTTCGAAAGGAAATCGAAAACATGATAGAGCAAGGAATATGCCGTCCAAGCAAAAGCCCTTGGTCATCACCACTTTACATTGTACCGAAGAAGAACAGAGAATTACGAATTTGTGGAGATTATAGAAGACTGAATTCTATTACCACTCCTGACCGCTACCCAATACCGCGAGTCAGGGATTTCACTCATCAACTATCAGACAAGACTATATTCTCCACCATCAATCTAAACCGAGCTTACCAAAAAATAAAAATACGCGATGAAGACATAGAGAAAAGCTTGCTTTTACGATTAAAGGAAAAGCTGATCAAAATGGAATTAATTTACGAGGATTTTATTTAACAGTGTTACGCGCTCCAATGCCTCAAATCGGCGCACTAGCGCCACTAGTCTCGAACCGAAGAACTAAACTTCTTGAAGTTTAAAACTCGAACTCTCGGTACCTTGCGCGTGTTTACTTGAACATTCTGGATATTTTGCTAATTTATATAAGTAGGCGCTGAAAGATGCGATCGAGGTAGAGTTGAACTCGGCGACACAAGCGAAGCTTCGGAGCGGAATTAATTGAATTAGTGTGTTTAATTATTAATGTTTTTAGTTTTAATTTGTGTAAAGTAATATAAAGTGTTAATTTAGGTAATTTTATCGGCAATTTTTATTGTCACGAATCCTAAGCTCGTAACAATTGGTGTCAGAAGTGGGATAAAATAATGCCGATTTTACCTAAGGAGGAAACGGAGGGTGTCCGTACCCGAAGTCAACGCCAGCAGGAGACGGACCAACGAAGATTTGGTGGTGCAACGCCGCAGACGTCGGAGGGCCAGCCACCGGCTGCAAGCCCGTCGGTAGCTCCTACATCTGCAGCACTTAGCAACTTAGGTGCTCCGATGGTGATGCTGCAGGAGCAGGCTCGCCGACAGGAGGAGCAGGCTCGCCGACAGGAGGAACAGGTCCGTCAGTTGAAAGGGCAGCTGCAGAGCGGACAAGAGGAACAGGCCCGCCGACAGGCGGAACAGGCCCGTCGGTTGGAAGATCAGCAGGCGGAACAGGCTCGTCGGTCGGAAGAGCAGATGCTCCTCATGAAGGACCTTCACGCTACCTTTGGGAAAGAGATAAGGGACGTGAAGGATAGGGTTGCTCAACACGACAACCGCCTGTCGGAAGCTGAAACCCGAATCGAAGAACATGAAACCCGAATCAACCATGTGAACAATCGGGTTGACAACGTGATGGCTGACGTGAAGAAAACGCTAAACGACCTCAAACTTGGGGATGGAACTACAGCTCCCGTAGTAGCTGCAGCACCTTCGCTACGTGGATTCAAGGTGCCGCCGTTCGACGGGACCTCTTCCTGGTCGGCCTACAAAATCCAGTTCGAGGCCGTCATGGAGGTGAACGGCTGGAATAAAAGCCAAGCCATGACTGCACTCACCCTAGGCCTGCGCGACCAAGCCTTAACTGTATTGGAAGCTCTCGGTAAGAAAGTGACCTATGAGCAGCTTCTTGAGGCATTGGAGGCGAGATATGGCGACGCTCACCTGGAACACGTCTTTCGTGCGCAGCTTAAAGACCGTGTGCAGCGCATCAACGAAAACCTGCAGCAGTGGACTCTAGAACTGGAGAAGCTAGTGCGAAAAGCATACCGGTCTGTACCTGCGCTCATTGAAGGGAACCTGGTGCAGACATTCATCGACGGCATCCGTGACCTGGAAGTCAGAGCTACTGTGAGGCTCGGGCACCACGAGACGCTTAAGAACGCCTTGGCCCATGCACTGAAGGTGGAAGCCGTGCGGCAGGATCGTCGTTCCCATCGCGTCAGGGAGGTTGCAGCAGCTACAGTTCGCGACCGCAATAAAGGATACAGCCCAAGGTGCTATGGCTGTGGGGAAAAGGGCCATCTTCGATCCAGCTGCCCTAAACTAACCGTGGAAAGGAGAGTTGATCGATCACGAGAGGGTAGTACAGCTAACGGCACTGCCTGGCGGCGACAGGATCATCGTTCACCTCACGCTAGGGAGGTTACAGCAGTTACGGTTCGCGACCACAATAAAAGATACAGCCCTAGGTGCTATGGCTGTGGGGAAAGGGGCCATCTTCGGTCCAGCTGCCCTAAGCACACCCTAGGAAGGGAAGGTGAACGGTCTCAGAAAGGAAGTGCGGCTAACAGCACCGCCCAGCAGCAGCAGGAATACGACTTTACTATCAGACACTGCAGCGGGAAATCTCACGGCAACGCAGATGCATTGACAAGAAGACCTTGTCCTGAAGATTGCAACCATTGTAGTAGGCAAGAGAGTAAGGAAGTGGTATCCGTGAGGATGCTCAGGACAGACCACCTCAGCAACGGGTGGAAGGACAGCCTA